AGTACTCTCATATAGTACTTTTTCAGAGCAACCTTAAAATAGCTGGAATATTTCTGGTCATGTGACGATCTCTCAACCAACCAAAAACTAATAAATTTTTGATGCAGGATATAATATCAAATAAGTCATGGGATATACCGTCCCTTGATGTATTACAGTCACTATGCTGGCCAACTCTTGATAAATTGTTCTGGAAAACAATGTGCTGTTTAATGTATAAATGTGTAAATAGAATAACACCCGGAATCGTTCATGACAGATTTATACTCGTCGACGATGTTTCAAAACGAATAACTCGCAACTCAGATAAGAAAATGTTGCGATTGCCAAAATGTAAAACAGAATTTTACAGGAAGTCATTCATTTATTCAGGGAGTGAAATTTGGAATGATCTTCCACTTGAACTTAAAGAAGCACAGAGCCTAGCAGTCTTTAAGAGAGCTCTAAAAGAAAATCTCACATGATAAGGTGTTCTTCTGCATAGTTGATTTTTATCATGTTACTTGACTCCATTTTACAATGCTTACAATTATCATTAATTCTAAAATGCTGTTCTTTTGTGCAATATTATATTTAGTTAATGTATTCCTATGTTTTGGTTTAATTTATTTTCATAGTTGATTTTATCATTATCTATTCAGTTTTTGAAATGTTACTTTAGTCCATTACCATACAATGTTTAATTTATTTTTCATAGTTGATTTTATCATTATCTATTCAGTTTTTGTCATGTTACTTGACTCCATTATCATACAATGCCTACACTTATCATTAATGAACTGCTTTTCTTTTGTGTAATCTTATACCCAGTTAATGTATTTCCATGTTTTTGTTTAACTTATTTTGTAGTTGATTTTTATTATTATCTAAACCATGCATACATTGTGTTAAATGTTTAATAATCCGATATTGTACAGTTCTAATTGTAATTTATGTAATTTTTTAATGTGCTGTTTTATAATCAGGGCTCTGTGGAAGACCAGGTTTTTATTTTTGTATACTGAACAGACTATCCTGAATAAAGAAGTGAAATAAATAAATAAATGAACGTACCAAATCTAGAGACTTGGCCCAAGTTTCTGCTCCCAAACCTCTGCTGTCGCTATTGAACTTCCTTATGTACGTATTCAGATTACTATAAGTTCATATAACATGAATTTTTCAAAGATTACAATGACTTATTACTCCATATTATCCAATAGTAATAATGATTCTGGCTTTTTATTAGCGCTTAATTTTATTTTGATGCATGACCAATAAATTTGAATTAAAATGAAGTGAAGAAATCCCCCCTTTTTATTCACTCCTTTGCAATAATATATCTGAAAATATAAATCGCTTACCAACTTTTGTCTCAACTAATAATACAAAAAATCTCATTCCATACTTTGAGAAGATTCGTTTTTACTATAAAAAATGTTAAACGTTGAAACCCAACAGCTTGTTTTAGGGGGATAGACACAAACCTGATAGCTCCCCTCCCTCATTTTCATACTTTTTGACACTTCTTATTGTTCATTGGTGAATTTATTGGTGAATTTCTGTACCATGGAAATTGTTTTTTCATCAAGATAAACAACAAAAGACACGAACAATGATTATGAAGGTCTCGAGAAATCTTAGTTGAGATACCAAATCATAACTTACTTCTAATCCAAATTGCACCCAGCACGCGATCACAAGTTTTTCCAATCCATGATTCCCTCTTTATATTTGGAAAGGAATAGCTTGGACTTGTCAAATAACAACTTTACTGTTACATTTACGGATGCAAAGCTTCTCAAATATCATACCTTTTGCGATACCGCATATACTCTAAACATACCGCAAACTAAAACTGTAAAATATTATAAATTATCCTCATTGTGTACTCCAAATAAAACACACAGCGTACGGTCAAAACTTGCCAAGAAACACGTCAGAATAAATTAATTAACGTCAAATATCCCACGAAGTGAATGAATGAGAATTTCATCTTTTCAATAATTATGACAATTCTCTGCAGTGGTTGTGCCACCAAAGGCAATGCAATCTGCAGCAGCAAACATTGCATTTGACCTTCCATGAAGTCTGATTGAGTAATATTTTACGAACTTGATTCCAGCTAAAGAAGTGTGGTTTATAGAGTACCGAAGCTGTGACGTCACACTAATCTATTTTTTAGAATTTCTCATTTTTTTCTTTATTTTCCAAAAGAGCGTAAAAAAAAATGTCCAAATGTCGAAAACCAATTGCATATGTTAAGTATTGGCTGAGATATGACCATCTGAATAAATATATTTCCTAAAGGAACTCGGTGTTATATGCTCTGGCTCCTAACCATCAGTTATGAATACAAATAAGAAACGGATAAATTTGCTGTCAAACAAAGTAAATTCATAGTTATATAATTCTGATTATTCAATTTGCTCCAGCCTATGCGCCCGTTAATTCACATCAATACCAACTCTAATCTGAATAAATAAGATGATTGTCAATTGTATAGACCTATATTGTCATATGAAATTCAAAATATCAACATAAAAATAGAAGGTCACGTCAAATTTGCCAAGTGTCAGAACATTATTCATACCATATCCAGAGGTCTCTGTATATCCCAAAACGACTAACGACTACCTCCTCGGACAAATATTTCGCCTCCTCCCCCCGCCCTCCCGGACAAATGTGGTAAACATGAACATTAAGGACTACACATCCAGGACAATTATCCCAAATAATTACATGGAAAACTATAACGCCTGGAACTGAGCGAAGTTGTCTTTCGTATTTTTAAAGTCATTCAGTTTTAAAGTTTCAAGTGGGTCTGTAGGAGGTTTCATACAGATCATTTTTAACCATCCCTGTGTCACCACCAGTAGGTCCGTGGGAGGTTTCATACATATCATTTTCAACCATCCCTGTGTCACCATCACTTTCGTCTTCACCACCCATGCCATCCTTGTCAGTAGCATACTCGTTTGGTGTCTCGCCTTCCTGAAGGTCATCTTCTCCACGACAGATATACAAAGCATTGTCAATATCTGCAGGTCTGCCCATGTCACTATCCAACACTTTCTTTGCTTTAGTCATGTTCCTTGACTTATCGGGCATGGTGTAGAGGCCATTTATGTCTTCAGGGCCTAAAGCAGAAGGCGGTGCTTGAGGAACTGCTTGACTAATGGGTTCCTTGCGGAATTTCTGAGAAACCGCGTACTCAGGGATAGAGTCACGATGTCCATTACTCAGCTGGCTTTCGTCAGGTGTGGTGTACAGCTCATGTACGGGATGCATGGCGAATTGCGTGTCTTTGGTTGATTTCCTTGGCGAAGGCTGTGGGGGTCTGCGACTCCCTGCAGTGCTCTCCAGTTGTGGAACATCCTCGTAGGTAGAACCGTTTCTCGCACTCTTCACCGGATTCATGTCCGTCTCGGCTATCATAGCGTAGTCACTGTCTTCCACACCTGTTCCTGTGGTGAGGTCATCGGCGGCCATATTGGTATGCCCATTTTCCAGAGAGTAGTTATTTGGTGAGAACGGTAGGGGTGGAAAATCGCCCAGATCGGACCCTTCAGGTCTTAATCGCAGTTCCAATACGTTGTGATCGCTTGTAGAGCCTTTGTCCTTTGATCGCCTTCATGTAATTTGAAGGGAAAACAGAAGTCATTAGTAAATATATTATAGGTAATGTAAAGACTACTAATTCACTTGAAACCGACACAGGGTCAAAATCATATTTAACAATATGGAAAATTCAAAACGTCGGACTAACTTCCTCTGTTTGAACCGATTAGGAACAAAAGCGTAAACCCAGCGTCGGTGTAGATATAGAAGAATTCCCCACTTATTTTAAACTGCCACCGCATATAGGCCTACATTCAATTTTGAATCCACCAAAACTATATTAATACCATACGATAGAAAACTTAAAAGTAATTGACATTTTTAAAGATTTTTTTTGTTTACAAAGATATATTAAGGTTTCAACAATTGAATTAGTTCGAGGATCATAAAGTTGTTTTGAAATAGAGTAAACGCAATATGATTTCTACGAAGAAAAACAATATATCGTCCTTTTCGAAGAAATAATAAAAGACATAATAATGACTTTATCTATTATTGTGGTTTTATCTATCCAGGGTAGCTGTATCAGTACCGATAATGCTCGTTCCCGAGGGTCCTGAAATAAAATCTTTATTCCCAGCAATGCAAGGTAATCATTTCAAAAATGGATATAAAAATTAGTAGTCTAAGGTTGTAACCACCGGATAAAGATCGAACCCAGAACCTTTCGTTTTTAAGAGTCAAACACGATTGTAACGACTTTCGAAAATCAACCAATGCCATCTCCATCTCCTACTAAAATATGCGAGTATTACAAACACGTATTAAACATGTATAATCCGAACATTATATATGTTTTATACATTAAATATGGTAATTAAATTAAAGTGATCGTGTTGTAATAAGCTTTTTATCGCCATCATCAGGGCTGTTCTCCCTGAGTGCTATAGCAATAAGCAGTTCATAGTTGCAGTCAGAGCATGAGCGGATAAAGATCATAATAATTAGTGCGTCTCGGAATAGAATTTCTAGATGTACAAGGCGCTACACAAATGGCTATTATTATTATCATTATCATTCTTTGAAAAGGGAAAACAAAGGCTATTTTATTATCATTATTATTCTTTGAAATGGGGAAACTAAGGCTATTTGTGATTATTTCGAAATGTACAAAGTGGGACCTCTTCATGTTTTGAAGATCGGTGGATATTCAGGGTCGTTTGGGACTCATCGTGAACTGGTCTATTGACAGGTACACATTGACACATGGGTTGAGGGTTGGGAATGTGGCCGATTGTCTTGCCAAATTACGATATTGCCGGACTGTCATTCGAACCGGCAACCCTTGGTTTGAGAGTCAAGTCAATGAACCATGATACCACAACATAACCCTTAACCAATATACCACAATGTACCTACTGATCATTTTATATATAATCTTCGTCACTTTCTTACCGACGTCGTATAATGAAAACGACCAGGAGGATGATGACGATGAAAAGCAGGATACCACCACCGGCTCCAGCACCGATATACAAGCCTGAAAACATGGAATAAATAATTTAAACCACAAATATTCGTTTACACATAATTTTAGGGGTTTGCAGCTACAATTATGCATTCACATATCACGTGCCCATTGTTCATCGTTCCCTGTAACATCTTAATCACATTTACAATTACGTGTTCTTTAAATAAATGTAGTTGATATATTGGTGGATGTCAAATATACGATGTAAAACTCATTATGGTTCACCCCGACATATTTAATAAATTCTCAATACAGTGATACGAAATATATACTACAACCAATTTGTTTGTCTTCTTCATAATTTACCTAGATTGCCTTGAACTCCCGTCTCCGTTGTTCTTGTAGGAGTCCGTGGCGTTGGTGTCACGTCCGAGGTCATCACTGAGAAATTAAAAACAAAATCTATTTATATGTCTGCAGCCAAGAAGTAGATGAAAATATGTTTTCTAGTCACATTTCACATAGGCCTATGAGAGAATTTAAAGCACTAATTTTTATAATATCATCATCACTACTGATCACACTACTACTAATACTACTACTACTACAACTACTACTACTACTACTACTACTACTACTACTGCAACTACTAGTACTACTACTACTACTACTAATACTACTACTACGACTACTACTAGTACTACTACCACTACTACTACTAGTAGTAGTAGTAGTAGTAGTAGTAGTAGTACTACTACTACTACTAATACTACCGTTACTACTACTACTACTACTACTACTACTACTACTACTACTACTACTACTACTACTAATACTACCGTTTCTACTACTACTACTACTACTACTACAGTAGTAGTAGTACTACTACAGTAGTACTTCTTCTAATACTACCGTTACTACTACTACTACTACTACTACTACTACTACTACTACTACTACAGTAGTACTACTACTAATACTACCGTTACTACTACTACTACTACTACTACTGCAACTACTAGTACTAATACTACTACTACTAATACTACTACTACTACTACTACTACTACTACTACTACTAGTACTACTACTACTACTACTGCAACTGCTAGTACTGATAATACTACTACTAATACTACTACTACTACTACTACTACTAATAGTACCGTTACTACTACTACTACTACTACTACTACTACTACTACTACTACTAATACTATCGTTTCTACTACTACTACTACAGTAGTACTACTACTAATATTACCGTTACTACTACTTCTACTACTACTACTACTACTACTACTACTACTACTACTACTAATACTACCGTTACTACTACTACTACCACTACGACTACTACTACTACTACTGCTGCTACTACTACTACTACTACTACTACCGTTACTACTACTGGGACTCGAACCACGGACCGTGTGATACACAGTCCGTTGTCGTACACACTAGACCACGACACCTCTACACGACACCCTGAGTATAAATTACCTGGACTAGTCAGGTCAGTTTGGACATTTCCCCCAGATAGCATTCCTTCTGTCCTTGTCGGAGCTGTTGTAGATATCACACGCAAGCGTCATAATACAAGAAAAAAGATCATAACGACTTTCAAATAATAAACTCGAGATCAATATCAATAGCATGTAGAATTGCCTGTAGATATTACGTTCGGATTAGGTAATATTTTATTGAAATTAAACATTCCAAAAAATTATGAACAAGGCTATTTAAATTGAATTTAAGACAGCCTCTATGATCGTCTTAGAATATGCACTTCCGAACCAAAGCCTTTTCATGGACAAACCCAAGGTGACAGTTACCTCTACATTTGACACTCCTGATGCTAAATCTTGTTTATTTTTTCATTATTCTTGTTAACGTATGGGACAGCATTTGACCAAATAACTTGAACTTTCCCAACAAGTGATATGTCATCAACAATCACCCAAAAAATATTGTCTTCAAATTAATGTAATATCATACTTGTTTACATCGTGTATTCTCATTTCTTTATAATAAATGGCCTCCATTCACAAAAGAATCGTTAACCTTACCTTGGTCTTAACCACATGTAATTTACTATGGGCGGCCAAAAAGGCCAAAAAGCAAAATAGTAAAAACATCCCCCAAAATGCTGTAAAAAGCAATGCCCTTGTTCTATAAAAACAAAGGTAAACAAAATATGTGTGTTCTAATTTTTGTCTAATATATTTCGACTCAGGTTATCTATTATTTAGACCACAATTGTGAATTCCCCACACGATGTTACCTTATCAAGATATCATGAATGACTTACCTTCCATCATTGTGCGATCGGTTGAAGGCACTGATGGAGATGTTGGTGACGGAGATGATGGGGATGATGGTGGATGTGATGATGGTGGTGGTGCTGTTGATGACGTTGGTGGTGGTGGTGGTGGTGTTGCTGGTGGTGGTGTTGATGATGATGACTGGATGCTCTCAGTCGTAGTAATATCACCTAGTATAACAACAAAATACGTAAAGCTTACTACTATCTTCTTAACAAGAAACGTGATTGCAACTTCTATCGAAAATCAATTCAAGGGCAATTTCAATATTCTGTTATATATTCTATATAAATAATGTTCGTATTTCACAATAGATCAATGTTATGAATTTCTAAAGGTGATGGAAAACACTATTGATATTGCTCTAAGTTGATCATTCGAAAGTAGTTGCGAACTTGGGCTGTAATTTCATCTTTGTTTATTACATGTAATTCTTATTAATCATTTTTTTTAATTAGCAATGGGGTCTATTCTCATTCGTATTAGGTATATTATTAACCGAAAGACTGGATATGGATTAGACACGGTCCTTGAAATAATATGCGATAGCTTCAATTGCAATCGTTCTCTTCTGATTCATGGGTTTATTGTACAGTCCTGAAGATAATGAACTAATAATAGTGTACTAGTAATAACAAGAATAATACGCCAACAAGTAGTTATAATATTGTCATAAACAAACATTATCATGTTTTATATACCAGAAATCCAGCCATCTGATTGGTCGAAATTGCAGTCATGGTTTTAGCCATTCCCGTTAATAAACGAAAAAAAAATCCACGCCCATGTAATAGTTCGAGGGCAAAACTCAAGTTACCGGGAATAGTTCAGTCTTGCTTAAAAACTGGTTTGAGCGATCGCGGATACCATACATACATGTACGTGTGCGAAGAATTGGTCGCTAGCTTAATTTACCATTTTTTTTAATACAGAGCGCAGCGCAGACGACCGTACGGCAATCTCGATCGTACTGAATTCCAAACAAGGCAAAAATGGCTGAAGAAACTCTCCCAAGATTTCAACTTCTTGATGATGATCAAATGCAAGACTTTATTAATTCTAAAGAACACCAAAAGGGAACGTGAAATTCTCCATAAAAATATTGTGTGCTAAAACCTTCCCATAGAGATTGCACACATCTCTAGATCTATGCAGTCCAAGTGCAGTGCGCACTCATGCTAAATTGGTCGATGTTTTAATTACCAAAATGAGATTCAAACCAATATTGCTCGTGATCCTGAAGGTGATACTCAATAAGTGAGGTGTCATATAAAAGAGCAGGTTTTTCTCCATATTTCCCACAGGGGCCCACCCCCAAATTTTAAAAATATCTTGCTTAGAGTCAGACTAGAACAAACTCTCAAAGATACATTCATTAAAAAAAACGTGCAGATAAACTAGAGAAAGGCTAAGGTGGTGTCATATGTTGACACTTTTTTCGGCATATAAAAGTATTAATGACTGCTTTAATATTCGAGAAATAGTTGTTTTTATACGCTCAAGGGAAGGTTACAATTGTGCTATTGCCCGAGGCGTTCTCTCAAAGCAGTCATTAATACTATAATATTTCCTTTTATTACAGATCTATTTTTAGGTCGTGCAACAATTTTTTTTAAAAATTAAATGAAAGAAAGAGAATGACAAAAAAAGGAGGGTAAAATGATTGTAAATGGTTAATCCTAGCTGAAAGAAGATATCGACATTACTAATCTTTAAAGTTGACATAGTAAAATCAACGTCATGAATGCAAAGACCTATGCTTGCCATCATGAGACTATTTTCACGTGTCAAAAAAGATCATTGCGCATGTTTTGAATGAAGTAAAATTAGATGAACATTAAGTGAATGGTTGATACGATTGACTGGGAACTTAGTAATGATCAGACTCACCTCCGGTTTGAGTTGGGGTCGGTTCGGCACATCCTGGAGGACTGGCAGTCCGTTTGGTATTTTGTAGATACAATGTGACTGTAATGATGTAGACGCGGGGAAAGGAAAATGCACATGAGAAACTATTTCGATATATATTCGATTAGGGAAATTGGTAAACTATAACATGATTTAGAATATCCGCTGAATTTAGTAGCTGCCCCAAAATACTGTCAAATTAGTTTTACTTTCGTTTGCCTTCTGTGGGGCTTAAGAGTCTAGTCGGATTTAGAAGTCTTACAATTATTAAACCTTACAACATCATGATGAATTCAAACTGCAATTAATACTGAAGCTCAATTGATGTTTCTTTCAGAATATTTCTTTATCAGTTGAAACACTGAACCTGGTGCTGAAATGATATGCAAATGATAAGATCTCAACTATCAATTAATTTTTCTTTTATTGGCAACAAAATAAATATCATATTGACTTACTATTGAACAGTGCAATATGATTGGCTCCTCCACATGTTTCAATGGTTCTTCCAGTACACGGAGAGGAGCATAATCTATCAGCTTCCTTTGTAGATTGATCGATGGTTGTTGATGCCTTCCCACATAAGCACATGTTTCCTTTGTACAAACCAGCATAGGTGTAGATACCATTGCTGTCATGGCACAAGCTTACGCAATTAGGTATAGTCGAGTCCTGAAGTCCATTTTCACAAAGAGTTTGAAAATCTCCAAGCGATGACATGGCTGATGCAGGGTAAGGATAACATCCTGTGTATCCACTCTCTGAAATGAAAAATAAAATGTATCCATTGATACTAGGATATTAAAGCTATTGTTACTCATGTAAGCCATTTGTGACAAGCGTACTGCAGTTTTCTTTACCTTTGAGTATTAGGAATATCCTACCATATGTTTTTGAGCTCAATTTCACACATTTGTCATTCAAGTTTATACTCCGAGCATTTGAATTCGCTCGCGCAAATCGCACTCGCAGCGTTGAATCTGCTTTCAAATTCACTATCCGTGCAACCAACTGTGTCATTCAAATGTTAAATAATAGCGTAAATTTCGTGCAAAGAGTATTCAAATTAATCTGAATGCTAAAAACAAAAAAACTACCGTCATTAACTCTTTCTGCGATCTTGCCAACACGTATCTTTGTTTATTTCGACAATATGGTATCCAAAATTAAGATTAAAGTATAATTACAATACGATATGCTTTTAAATTAATCAGCCTTCTCACACACTGCGTAATTACATTGGTAATAACATGTATAACACATATCATCCAGTATCAGTGCATACAATTAGAAACATGGTGGTGTATCTACAGATTCGCTACACAGCGTGATTCATTTTTTTCATTATAAGATCCCCCAACACGTACTCTTGTTCATTTCGACAATTTGTTATGTAAAATAAGATGATTAAAATATGATATGTTTGGAAATAAGCCAGCATTACGCCTACCACACACTGAACAAGAGTAATACAGGATCAAGGAAGAGAGGGGAATTGATAGATTTGAACATGAAGAGAAGATAATAGAAACGACTTCCAGACCCTCTCAACAATGAATGGATAAACTTTTCGCCAAATTGCTATTGCAACTATGTGCGACCATTCGCAAGATAATAAATAACTAAAAAATGTCTTAATACCGTAACAAATTACTCCTCCTTTGTTAGTGCAGAATGTTGTGGATACCAGTGAGCAATCGGCAAGATTCTCTTCATCTGTATTTTACAACGACACAGAAGAAGAAATATATTAATTTGATTATTTTATGATAGACTTGGTACTACATGTATTTTACTTTACCAAGTCTGTACGAATGTGTTTAATTTCATATGATTGAATAGAAAGGACATGGGTTATCATTGTATACAAAACTTCCTTACTTCCATCACAGTCCAATCGATCCTGTGCAACAGTAGTTCCATCTCCATAAGGCCACTGAGCTAAAAAGTTATTGGCTCCCGGGTATCCGAGCTGTCTGCACACAACTGGTGCTTCCGCAGAAGCGAGCCCATCTCCACAAGCTGAAGCCCAGGTAGAATCTTCTGATCTGAAGTATTCTACACGTCCTTCGTTTGGTGTCTCTCCATCCACCAGTGTTACATCTGTTAATGTTTAAGAGAGTGAAAGAGAAACAGAGATATGGGGAGAAGGGGGGAGAGAGAGAGAGAGAGAGAGAGAGGGAGAAAGGAGCGAGAGAGATTGATACAATGTCAAATGGCTGAAAAATCCAATTTTGGGGATTTTTTTCTTCTGATATGAATGAACAATGTGGTTGTGAAGCGAAAGATTTGCGATAGTATGTCATTGTCTCATGTTCGAAGTTCCATTGTTTTTGTATTTTCAAAAATATTCCAAATTTGTAGTACTTGTAGGAATGCACGAAAAAAAAGGGACTAAATAAAGCAAAAAAAGTTCCCATGCAAGTACTCTTTATTTGAAAAAATGCATACATTCAACCAAAACAATGAATGAAACAGGAAAGACTAGTGAAAAGACAAACCTTGGTCTGGCAATTTACTTACAAAATTGTATGGTAGATGGGGTAGAAATTAAAACTGTAGGGAATGACCAACTGTGTATAACCCGAATAGAGATTGACGGGATGGTATTAAACTGGACAAAACTATGATTAGGCGGATGGTCTTTAGACTACATACGGAGTACATGAACTGGGAAAGGACAAAATATCGTAAGATGCAATATTGATTAGACGAAATGTAATTGGACGAAATGACAATTTACGATTTGTATTACAGCTAAAATGCAGGGCCGGCATAGAATATGTTTTTTTATTTTTATTCCACAAATGACTTTTAAAAAGTGAGACGTAAAATTACCTCAACGAATATGAATATTTTGCGTCATTCTTGTTTCACGTACTTCGCATATTTCTCAGAATAAGGAATCCAATGAAGAAAAGCTTCATGCACTTCATAATTGCAATAAACTTTCACAGTGTTCCATGTTATGACTTCACATCAACATGATTAGTCACTGGAAAACATTGTTGAATTTAACAGAGGCGCATTCTTATCTTATTAATACATCCCATCCATAGCGTACGCAGGATTTTTTCAAGGGGGGGGGGGGTTAACATTTTTAAATCGGGCCGAAATTTTCGTATCGACTCAGCCGGTTGCTAAATAAGCGGGGGGGGGGGGGTAAGAGTACTTTTTTTCTGTGTGTGTCCCAAAATTTGAAAATTTGGCCGATCGGCATTGGGGGGGGGGGGTAAGGTCTGCTCTTTTGGGTCACCAATTACCAATTATTTTCGTCCAAAACACACACATTAAAAATGTTAAAGGGGTGTTAAACCCCCAACCCCCCCCCCTCCCCTGCGTACGCGCCTGATCCCATCATATACAACTCTCTACAATTTCACGATATGATTATTCGTACAGAAAGTGTGAATTATTTCGTTTGACGGGTTAATGAATATTACCACTAAATGTACTCAAAAGTAATTGCTATGAAGTTTACATGGCTACTTACTTATAATCGTATTAGCACTCAGCACCAGATCACAGGTAGTCAGAATGTATGCCGCAGTCACGAAAAAATATTTCAACTCCATGATTCCTCCTACACAGACAAACAGGAAGAGCTTTGACTGGTCAAAGAACAACTTTCTTGTTACATCTACAAATGCAAAGCTTCTCAAAGATTATAACCTTTCTAATACGGCATACTCCAAACATACCCCATACTGATACTCCAAGTATTATAGCTTGTCCTTAGTGTGTGTGTACTCCAGACACACAGCGCCCGGTCTAAACTTGCCAATAGATCAATTCCCGTAGCATACACAAAGGATCCCATGAAATGAATGAATAAGAATTTCATCTTTTCAATGATATAATTACTCTCTACTGTGGTGATGCCATGCTCTAATGATCACAGTCAATGCAATCTGCAGCAGCAAACATGGCCATTTGCCTTTCATAAAGTCTGATTGAGTAATATTTTACGAACTTCATTTCAGCGAATGTAGTGAAGGCTTATAATTACATATCAATTTCTACGCATATCCATTTAACAAATGCAAGAATAGATATATTTCGTTCCACTATTCCTTTAATTTCTCCTTTAAGCGCCCCAAACTGAGCGGTTTCTTTGGGGAAAACCCCAAACACCCAAACAAAGTGTCATCAGATTTTGTGGGCATTGTGTATCTTAAAGATACACCCTTATCTGAAACATTAATACAAACATTTCAGTGCTTTTCTTTGCTTACTCAGCCTCATAATTCAATTGTGTTGCTTCATTTGATATTATGTTCTATTTTGCATTTGTATACAAGTTCCCATCAGTTGCTTTTCTAATGTGGAAACCAAGTGGAAGTAAACCGAACTAAATATTATCCCATTACCTACTGGAACTGAGTGGTACCCGTCAACCATATTGGGAATACGAGACTTTCGTAGCAAATGGATTAAATTACAGTGAAAAGTTTACTTATCTCTAAATGGGAGGAGATCCGTTGGAAAATTGTTTCGAAAAAAATATCATTCTTTTCTAAGAGGTCAAGAATTTGATCACCAAATTAGTGGCGTAGATCCTGGAGGGAGGAAGGGTGCCCCCTAACCTCTCTCTCTCTCTCTCTCTCTATTACATGCGCACTTTCACTTTTCAAGGGAGAGCTATATTGTACACCTATCCCCTTCTCCTATCCTTTTTACAGGGGATACACAAATATTCACTGAATAGAATTGTGTGATATACCATCATAATTTCTTTTGTTGCTATGCTATAATCAACATTATTAAAGTTATTTTCATTTTTTATTGTCACAGCTTTGTAAATCAATCGCAATGAAATTTGAATTTGTTGAATAAATATCATCAAATTTTGAGACTTAGACTTATGTTGAACAAATAAAATATTAGAGAATTAATTCATAATTGGAACATCTTTATTAAAGACTAACTCCATCCCGTGCTTCGGTAATCGAGTAATAATATGAATAAGTGAGAAATTTTAACCAGTCGTATCACAACCTTCTAATTTCAATATACATATTTGTACATGCATTTCGAAATCAAAAGGCAAGGTGAAAAAAGGGGATATTGAAACACAATTCCCAATAAACTCGTCTTTGCATCGAAAGGTTGGAAATAGTGCAACGGTGTTTATTTAGGACAAGTCGTGTATTGAACAATGCTCCTGGAATGAGGAAGTGTATTTTCATGAAAAATGCATAAATGATAACGTAGTCGTAGTAGAAATTGTTTAACATTCTATGCAGTGGCGGATCCAGGGGGGGGGGGGGGCCGGGGGGCCCGGCCCCCCCCCCTTGAGAAAAAAATCATGCAAAATCACGCGATTTTTACCTTTTTGGGGGGTTGCAAATTTTAAAATTTTCGAGGACCCCCCCCCCAAAAAAAAATGTGCTCACTACCCCCCCCCCCCCCCCCCCCCACTGAGCGACTTTTCGGCTGGCTCAGTCGTTGCGATTTTTTTTGGACTCAAAAAAAAAAAAAAAAAGTGTCCGCTTACCCCCCCCCCCCCCCCCCCCCACTGAGCGACTTTTCGGCCGGCGCAATTTTCAAATTTTCGGGAGCAAAAAAAAAAAAGTTGGGCCCCCTTCCCTAAGAAATCCTGGATCCGCGCCTGATTCTATGTATTGTTCATGAAGTTAGAATCTGAAGAACAGACATTTAAAAACAACGCATGTTCTAAATATATAATTATAAACAATTTGAAGACACGTTAGATATAATGTTATAATATATACATGGTCTATGATTACTAACAAGTCTTTCCAATTAAAACTTGGTACATGTACCACTCCGCCTGGTACATGTACCTCACATTTTCAAGATATGGCTGCGTCCATGTCCATGCAGAGAAATCTTCATTTATATATCTCTTGTACACTTTCGTAAGGTTTATTGAACGTCAAAAGGCAGGTATTCATGTCGTTTTACAGAATACCTACACTTATTCTTTGGGTTTAGTTCTCCTTTATAGGTTCTGTGGCATGGTGAACAAGACTTTATCACAAATTCAATTGATAACAATATTACTTTAGTCAAAGCAAAACGTACACATTACTAAGAATATAACTGTATCTTTTAATACAATAAGCTATATTCTTCATAACTTTTCTCAATTCAAGATGTTAAAAGTATATTTTTCTGGTTTACTTTTGCCTATGTAAAGTATCGTTCAATTAAGATATTATGCGGGATTTTCTATTGCTTGCGTATTTTATCCATTTATGTTGTTTCCTATAAATGAAATTCAAGATACTGAAAATTGCTGGAAAGCAATATTTGTATTTCTGAAGCTTCCAACCGTCTCAATTTGGAGTAAGTACATCTTCATAATCAGCACCCTCCTTTATTTTGTTTGCATACTGCGCAACATTCTGGTTCTCATAAAACAGGTTTGATGATGGTAGACGACTTTCTCCTGGTGTTTTGGACGAAGTCGTTGAGGGGATAGCCATCTCCTGGTATGTCCTGCATGCCTCGGGTCTGGGTTGTAGGTCCATGTAAGGGTCTGGTCCGTTCTCTCCAGTCCTGGTTGGTACTTTGCGCCTGTTACAGAAAGAAATCACATGAATAATTTTATAGTAGTCCACATTCACCCCTCTCCACCCAGGTGTTAATTAATGGGTACCCGGTAGGTTGCAAAAGTCATTGTAGTTTTGGTGCTCAGCATTGTTAGCGCCTCTTTACAATGCTCCCCATGGAGTGTAGAAAGCGGGTACCTTACCCGGTAAACATGCATTAAGCGCTATTTCATTCCCCAAATATTATTGTTTTTATTAGTATTACAAATTGTTTTTATTGAACAACTGAAAGGAAATATAGCAGTGATTTGCCCGCAAAAAATACCATAATTATCAAATCTATAAAACGTAAGAAATAATAATTATCATAGGCCTTTACAATAATCAATTTCAACAAATTTTATTCTATGAATTTCACGTATCTCCTTTGTTTAGTTTCAATTAGTATAAAATATCAAGATAATTCTATTAATTCAACGAATTCCAATCATTGAAGTATCATTTATTTAGAATCAAATAGTTATACATTCTGTAAGAATTATCAAAAAAGGGGAAAGACCGAAAAGTTTGGAGGGAACGTTCCTTGATCAAGAAGAAACGCGTTTAAAGAGACCTGTTTGCCGATGGATATTTCCTTTATTCTGTAGCCCAAAAAGTTTGAATATTATTTTTCTCTCTTTTTTCAAGAAATGATTCTGATAATATGTTTTACTCTTGAATGATAAAGTTTATATTTTCTCAGAACTTGATTGATTGATGAAGAATAAATGATTGATCAATAAAGCTATGAGAAGGTATAACCTTCATCCCTCAAAAGTAAACCATGGAAAGAGAAAAGACAAAATCACAGGGGTAATAATCAAATCCCTCGATCAATTCATGAACTTTATGATGAATAAACTCAACGATAGATTAGTAGTAAACCTAAACTGCAATGGAAAAAGAAGGTTGCAATGTTCAAAATAATTACTGATTCGAAATAACCTATTTATTTTATCACTTTACATCTTTAAAAAACCTCAACGTATTAAGTGTGAGTCTGGTTGAATGTGTCAGACAGATGACAATGTAAGTGACTTATCTTGTTACAAGTAGTAAAGTGCTATAACCTTAAAGCCCAATATTTGCACGGTGCATACGAGGATACATCTCTTTAATGGTAGAATAGTAAAAGGTGAAAAACAAAGCTAAAATAAATTGCATGATACTAAAATTACCTGAACTGAATGTGCAAGAAAGTAATAGCAATTGCATACAGCAACAGGGCTACAACAACCACAATCAGGCCAATTTGCACTCCTGTAAAAAGAAGGGGAAAAAGATATCTCACATGTAACAACAGACTACGGCAGTTTTACTTTGTTTCACATGAGAATGATGCATTACTACTTTGAATCAGGTATGGTATATAATAATTACAAAAGACCTTGCCTTTCATTTACATGTGTCCACTTTCTCAAGTTGGCCACTACACAGTGACTGAACAGAAGGTGAAATCTCTGTAGTCTACAGCCTTTTAGACAGACAGCAAATGAGACCGACAATTTCGGTCTGTCGGGCCTTTGGACAACTTTTTGTGGAGGGTTCACAGACAGTCCACAAAACTGACAGCCAACTAGACCAACCATGCCAGTCTCGTGGGCCTTGTAGCCACTATTCAGAAGGTTTACTAGACCGATGGTTCCCGAGACCGACATTTCGATAATTTTCTTTATTTCTTTATTTCTTTATTTATGTCTAATATTTTGACAGGGTAGCCCATTCACCAACAAGTAGTGGTCTTCCATGGGGCCCTGAATGAACATATTTACATCGTTTATAACATTTATACAGAACAGTTACAAAAATAATACTCGTTTGCAAAATAAATATAATCATTAACCTAGTAAACAGTAATGTCAATAGGAAAATATAAGTCGCAATTATGTGAATAAGTCATGTAAATATTACAGAACATGCACGTAGTGTATGTACGGCTGAGCCATTCACAAATTACAACTTTGTTTAAACAATCTCTTAAATGAATTGACAGAGGAAGCCGTTCTCAATGAATTATCTAGCTTATTCCATTCAAATATGGAAGAAACAATTGGGCTACACTTATAACAATCAGTGTGAAATCTAGGCACACGTAAACATCCACTGTCTATTTGCCTTGTATGATGCTCATGTACATCATTAGGATTGATTAAGCCTACCTGAAGGTAAGAAGGTGCTAAGTTATGAACGCATTTATATATCATCATAACGCGACTTAACTCAAACCGCTTGTCTAGTGTCATCCATTTAAGACTTGTGAACAAATCAGCCGACGGTGTGTCAAATGTCTTGTTCAATATTATTCTTGCGGCCCTCTTTTGAATTTTGTGCAGCTTAGTTGTATGAGAATGAAATCGGTTCGACCATACAACAGAGCAGTAATCTAATCGTGGCAACACTAGACTGTTATAAAGTAACTTTAAGGATTTTTGAGGCAAAAAACTTTTTGCTCTCTTTATCATGCTAATGTTTTTCTGGGTAAGTTTACTTACGTTTTCGATTTGTTTAGACCATTTCAATTCTTCATCTATCAAAAGTCCTAAGCATTTGGTGAATTGAACTCTTTTGATCAAATTGCCGTTTAATGAAATGGTAAAAGATTCAATTTTCTTGAGATTAGCAGGAGAGCCTATTAACATGACACAAGTTTTTTCAGTGTTAAGAACAAGACGATTTTCCTTAATCCATGCCATGACTCTGTTTAACGCAACAGTTAATTTTTCTTCCACAACAGTTGCATCATTTGCACTGACGGTAAGTGTCGTATCGTCAGCATACATATCTATGATACCTTCAGGAGTACATTCAGGTAGACTATTAACATATATTGAAAATAAAAGGGGA